TGTGTGTGTGTGTGTGTGTGTGTGTGTGTGTGTGTGTGTGTGTGTGTGTGTGTGTGTGTGTGTGTGTGTGTGTGTGTGCATGATGTTGTCTGTATGTCTTCCCTGCTGACTACACCACCTGTTCCAGACAATGTCAACCAGACTCATTTATCTCTCAACAGGACTCACTGCAAACACACACACACACACACACACAATTACTAAGAAGTTTCTGACTGCCTGGATTGACTTGCAGTTTTTTACCTGCTTGCTGTGCCATGGTATCAAAAAATTAATAACGTAGCTGCAGCCTGTTTGAGAACAAAGTCAAAGGAAAGTATAAAATATTATAGTGTTCCCTGATGAGTGTTGAAGCACAGAAGGTTCAAACAATCAGGGTTTCTGATGAAGAAAAATGTTTGATAATAGCCAATTGAGTATTACAGCTTTAGATGGACAATGCACTCCTATGATCTTAGCAACGTTAAAAGATATGAAGGACACAAACAGGGAGCACTGCATGGAAAAACATCCTATCAGCAAGCTAAGAAATGTATTGTGCAGACATGCGTGTTATAGTGACTGTAACAGGACTGTGATATAGAAGCTACTCAGTGCATCTAAATTTGTCAAGAGAATATTAACATTGTCTATGTGTCTTGATGACATTGACAAACACTAACAATTCAACATTGTAGCATTGATAAGAATTTAAAGTTGCTCAGGCTTAGAAATATAAATTCACACCATACTAAAAAAATTCTAGATTAGATTTAGCAAAAACACTTGAGTTACGACAATTAACGAATAAATGAAATGCAACACAATAAGTGAGAAAGTTGTGTTTAGTTGTCTTCAGAACTTAAAGGGGAAAAAAAAAAGAAAATTCCCTCATCATCTCCCACCACTTTGCCGATGGAGGGGATTTTGTGCATTCAGGGACCGTCTGAAATGCTAACGTCTGCTTGCTTGTCACTTCTGGTGGACTTTTAGACTGAAAGGTAGAAAATGAAAAAGACCTTGTTTCATCCCCTAAATTTACCAGATTTAATAAAAAACAAGATCCATGCATTATTCCCTTGGAATTCGGTGAAAACATCACAAAACATTCTATCTCAGACTGTTGAAGTAAGTGATATAAATGTATTGAATCTACCCCTTTGTCCAGATCTGCACCAAAATCTATTGGGTTCTTTGGCCCATGTCCCATCCTATTCTGTAGTTGTTGTGGAATTAGCGAGCAAACAAACAGACACAAGCGAAGACATGACATCATTGGCATGTTATCAAATACATGCGGTCTGACTGCCTGCCTGAACTTATCCAATCAAAATTTTTGGAAACACTGATAGGCTGCTAAAAAAACAAAAATAATAAGGAGAATTTGCTATTTTATCTTTCTTTATATTTCGGTCTGAGATGAGTCACTTGTTTTTTCTCAGTACAACTTCACAAACCATGATGATAATAAGGATGCACTTCAACCACTCACAGCATTTCAGCCAGAGAATTCCAACCTAGATTCACTGAAAAATGTTTGTATCTTTCCCAGTCAAGTCAAACCTGAATCTGCATCACAAATGAAAAAAAAAATACAATTATTCAAACATACACACTCTGGTCAATATAATTTATGATAATTAAACTTATTTTGTTGGATAAAGTTATTTAAAGATAAAAATATCGATCAAGAGATAATAATTTTAAGTTTCATTAACCAGACACAGAGGTTTGATTAAACAGCAGTGGCTCTTCTGAAAGCGGGTTGATACAAATAGATGGCTGAGAACTCTGATGGCTGTTCTTCATAATGATATTGGAGGCTTGTAGGTATACTGTTTAATCTAGACTTATCTGGCACTGAACTTTTTCATCAGGCTGAAATTATGCTAACGCACTCAACAGCCTCACGTTGTCCGTGATATTATTAAATCATCCTTCTGTGGAAATGTGAGAATGTACAGGGGAGAAAAAACATTATGTCTACTTCACAGGAGCTGATGAAGTAGACATGAAGTGGAAGTTGTTTTGTTCAGTAATCTCCATAACCAATGCATCAAAACTGAAATAAAAGATCTAACTTGTCAAATGTGTTATTAAGCTTACAGTAAAATGGATAATTAGTGATTCTGTATTCTTTTTTAATTCTCATACATAACTGGCACTCAGTAGAGTGCAGACCTCCACAAAGGCCCGACAGTCACCTTATGAAAGCTCATTTAAAACCATTAAATCCAGATTTTCATTTGAATCTGCACCAAATTCCATACACTCATAAATTTAAGTGTCCTAAATGTGCCTGATTTTTCATCAAGGTCCATGATAAATCAATCAAAATGTTGAAAAACACCCTTTCTCACAATGTGAGAGAAAA